AAAGATCACGTAGAAGAGCTCTGACCAGTTGTACACGCAAGGGGGACTCAGGAGCAGTATCAGCGGAGCAGCTGAGAAGTTGCGACCAATGGTAGGCGAGCCGAGAGGCAGCTGGGAGAACCTTATCCTTCAGCAAGGTCTGGAACTCTTTGTTGGTACCTTGAGTCGTACGATCGAAACTCAAACATGATGTAAATGCAGTATTGAAGGGATCTGCATTCAGCAGAGAGTCAACTTCATGATCAAGAGCATCTCGTATGGGGCGTAACATAAGTATGGATGTAGATGGGTAGTTTGCGAACCAATGGCATAGCGAGGCCCGTGACGAACCATCGGTTAGTTGATCCATACAGTCTGTTTGGCGGTCAACCATCCGTGCTAAGGAAGCATAGTAATCAAGTTGAGATTGACGGAGATCGGTAGGGAGCTCTGTGTTGGGGAAGAGGGCTTCTTGCCTTTCACGGGCATCTTGTGTACGATCACGACGAAGACGACGTAAGGCATTTCGTCGTTGATTTATTACTGTTGATCGAGAGTGGTGCGAGCGATTGCGGACCATGAGAGCAAACCAAAAAAAACTTGGGAGATGGTATAATTCATCAGGTGTAGCGGTTCATTCACTAGCGATGCCGTCGTGCGAGTAAAGCACCTGTCCCCATCTCCTCGAGACTTTGACCGAACGGGTCATATGTGGTTGTCTGTTGTTGTGTTGGTGTTGTAGTTTTTTTGTGTTCTCCTACTCGACAACTAGTACAATCACAGAGTGCGTTATTGACCGTCACTGTACGAGGAGAAGCATACCCTCGGGGGGAGAGAAAGCATACCCTGATGAATCATCAGGGTATGCTTTCAGATGCCCCACAGGATTTATAACAATTCACTCATCTTCTTTGTATGTGATCTGTCTAGCCTCGATTGAAGTACTTAGGTATCTTCTGTGTACTTCTCAGTGTGCGTTGTGTTCCTCTGTCGTCCAGGATTTCACTCTCGTCGATTCACCTACGTAGGAATCACTAGCAACACAGCAAACTTTTCTGTTTTAACTTTGCAGAATGATTGGGTGATTGCGACAATGGGGTCGTTCAATAAACCGATCTCGAAACTCGGAAACGTTTCCAGAATTGCTCATTACACGTATAATACGATGCTAGAATCGATTCTAAATTGACCCACAATAGATTCAATGAACATGGAGAATGTGCTGTAAGACACCATCGGGGCAGCCTTACGGCACCTTGAGGATGTCGGCGTGAGAGGGATCTCCTCTTCGACATCTCCTTGATCAGGAGCTGCCGAATCGGATCCTCATGGCACCTTACGTAAGGATCTCAAGGAGATGACCCCTCACCTATGAAGTTACCTCACTTGAGAAGGCACCCTTGCGCGTTGTGGGATAAGGAACCTAACGGAGGGACCTCATGCTACCTCACCCCCACCTAATTGTATAACTGAGGCTAGAGTCTCATGGAAGCTTGTGACGAAAGATGGCAATTTCGTGGCGAGCCAAAAAATTGTGCCTGAGGCGTGAACAATCAAAATCACGTCACCGAAGTATATGAAACTCTGCAGGCTATATGCAGTGTGTATAAGACCATAGAGAAGCTTTCGCAGGTAGACACCTACGGTAATTCGATCACAGAATCTGTATGGCTTCACGAATGTGCCACTGCCCTCGTAGGAGCTTATCGAAGCAGCTTGGAATAGCTCATAATCGAGCTTGATACAAGGCCTGCAGTTCCTCCTGAGATGGGCGGTATGATTCCTTTGATAGAGCCTCCCGTCGACAGGTACGTGTGGGGGGGGGGGGTGTTTGGGCGCGCGTCATTGGAAAGTGGCACCGTTTATTTTGCATAAACGTTAGATTTCAGTTTTTCTGTTGTTATTCCTTTTCCAATTTCAAGAAGCATATGGGAAACCTCTGCTGTTGTTTCGACGGACCTGCCTCTACCACACCGCTGCCTCCTCCAGCTGCTAATACTACTACGGTAACTCGCAGTACCTATGCCGCGCCTGGCGCCCCTCAGAACTACACCTACGGTGCTCAACCAGTAGAGGAGGTCAAACCTACTGCTGCTGGTGGTCCTCAGCCTGCCCAGCCCCATCAAGTCGTTTTGCAGGATGGTCGAGTCGCCGTCCTTGGCTCCGATGGCCAGTATTATCCCATAGCTCAAAATCAGCAGCCTACAGCCTCGGTGACCACCACGCAGCCCCCCGTCGTCCAGAACCATGTGGTAGAAACTCACACTACCACTGTTGTCGACTCGGGAGCCCCTCAACCTTCTGATGCTGGCCTCGGCACGGCAATGCTGGCGGGTACGGCTGGGTTACTGGGAGGTATGATGGTAGGAAGCGCGATGGAACAACCCTCTACAACTGTCGTGGTAGAGCAGCCTCCGCTGGTGATTGAGGACAGTCCTACTACTGTTATCGAGGAAACTGTGGTCATTGATGATGACGATGATTGGTGATTGATTTTGACAACGAGGATCTGATAAAGTCTCGCAGTAAAGGGATACACGAGCTAACAGTCCTCGCTTTGATTACCTTACTCGTGCCACCGATAGCCACTGTGAGGGTTTATGGTAGCCTTCGTTACTCTCCTTGTGACGTATAGGAGGAGCCAGGTCTCTCTGGTGCCGTTTTTCATCCGTCCTCCGAGCCACTATATCTCGCATATGTCGCTCACTCCTGGATGGTGGTTGATGAGAGTTCATCATAAGGTTAATTATTCGAGTAGTCCACTGAGGTTTGTGTTAAAGTCGTGGGGGGAAAGGTATCGCCTTGAATAGCATTTACGTATTCGTAGAATGAGAGCTCTCACAGAGGACGAGACCAGGCAGGTGTTCGAGAAGCTGAAGAAGTTCCTGGGATCGAACCTCCAACTGCTAGTCGACCGAGCTGATGGCGAAAATTACGTCTTCAGACTGCACAAAGACCGGTAGTAGCGGGAGGAGGGTGAGGGCCTCTGATAATTGCGTTTAGGGTCTTCTACATGTCGGAAAATCTCCTTCGAAAAGCCCAGCACATCCCGCGGAAATGCCTTCTGTCGGCCGGCGTGTGTTTCGGGAAGTTCACCCATTCGAGGAAGTTTAGACTCCACATTACGTGTCTGGACTACCTTGCTAAGTTGGCCGTGGTAAGGCATGTTGGTCTGCTGCTGCTGGTGGTGGGGGTATCTTGATGTCCTCAGCACAAGATTTGGGTCAAGCCCGCTGGAGAGCAAAGTTACGTATATGGCAATCACGTTGTGAAGGTAGTACCAGATGATCTACGCCTTTCTCGATCAACATAGGTGAATCAATTTAAAAAGGGGTCCCGAGTCGGGTTTTGGATTTGAAATTTGAGGACAAAGGTTGAAGTTGATTGCTCGCGGTTAAATCGACTTTGACGATAATTTTGAATTTGACGCAAATATTAAAATGCCTTGCGTTATGTTTAAAATTAGGCGGCGATGTTTTAACAGAATTGAAATCTGTTCAAATTGATCGACCTAAGGTTATAGTTGATCGAGAAAAGGTGTAGTTATCTAATATCAATAGTTCCTTATGATTGTGAATACTAATTATTGTTATCGTCATTGATGTTACCATAAATTCCTCGTATTTATATCGCCATATAGTGTCAACATTATCATGAATAGTAATGTATCGATCTTAATGGCTCATCGGGAAGGATGATTGTAGGCACATCTCCGTCGAGTTACTGAAGATACTCCTGCTAACACCGGGGTGGTCATCTTGAATGAACAGGATGTGCCACTGGGCTTTGGTGTCACCGCTAAGAGCGTTGGCGAGTGCCGTACGGCAGGACCAGAACAGATCGTTGTGTATTAGAAGCTGGTGATCATGGCTGTCGGGACTTGGGCTATGCAGATACCATCAGTCCGATATTGGAGAGTACCTCCGTGAGGAAGCCAACCTCGTGTAGTCCTAGACCTACGCCCTATCGAAGGCCAATACTCTATCTACGTTTCTCGACCATTGGAAACGGTGTTGAGTCAGTGGTAGAATGATCGTCGCTTTTCTCTCGGGCAGATCGGAAAATTAATGTTTCACGTGAAGCACTCGAGTAATGAAGTTGAAACCGTAGTAGGACAGAGTGATGAGTTATCATTCTATGGTCGAAACATTGATTTTTGGAATTTTCCTGAGGAAAAATACGCTCGTCAGGAAGTTGTTGCAATGGGTGTTGAGACCAGTCCGTTCCTCGCGCCACAGGAGCTGCCCTCCTACGAGTCGGCGGCCCTGAAGAGCCTGGTGAGGGCCCTTTCGGTACGCTCACTTTGAGTGGCCCTTCCTCAGACTACCCTGGAGGGTCATGGCTACTCGACGCCTCTCAGCACGGTATTCAACATAGTCAACACTATGGTTGGTCTTGGTACCGCTCGGATCTGCTACTGGTGTATGTATTCGCCATCATTCAGGATGTTCGCCCTGCCTTATGTGTTCGGGGTTGTTGGATTCCTCACAGGGTCATCATTTTCATAGGAGCTGTCCTAGCCTCTATCTCTCAGCGTAGGGACACGCTCACCCTTCTGGGTTTATGCCGACCACAGGTACGTATTGACAATGGTCCTGTCGGGGTACCTGGAGGAGTACAGCTACTATGCCCTCGCGACCCGCCTCTTCAAAGGCCGCACGATCCCAGTGGCCATCGATGTCGCCTTGGTCATCGTGCTCTTCGGGGTAGCCCATGGGATCATGATCATGATCCCGAAATGCGTTTTAGGTCATCAGTATGACTTTGGTAGTGTCGTTCGATTCGCTCCATTCCTACTTTCCGACGGTCCCCCGATGGACGCTGGGGGGCTTGGCAGCGTTGGCAGGATGGGGGGCTTCCCTGCCTAGATCCCTCCATGGGGTGAGGTTCGCCTCGTATACCGGAGTCGGCCTCATGTTACTAATATGGGTATCAGTAGTCTTCACGGCTATCTTCAATCCTTATACACGAGATGTGATGGACGAACAACTCGTACCGCCATCGCTGGACACCACAAGGCCGTGGGTTCAATTCTCACAGGTAACGCTTTTCCAACATGCATTTTCTCACTGATCTCTTTTAGGCAGCATCAGCTGGTGTTTTCTCCTTCATTATGCACGTCAACCTTCCATGCCTTTACGGTGAGCTCAAGCCTGTCGATCGACCCAAGATGCCTCTTCTGTTGGTGATTGCCTTATCGTGGGCCTTCGTGATGTACATCATCTTCGCAACTTGTGCTTCCTCCAGCCCCCTGTTCCTCTACGGCAGGGCTCCCGACCTTCTGATGGCGCTTCCGCGGACGTTGATTTTCGACACGTGTCGTGTCCTGATGGCCTTCGTGAACATCACTCGAACGCCGCTCTTATTGCATCCACTACGGCAGATCATCGATACGAGGTTGAACGTTCCGGAGCAGCTCAACTGGCTGGCCACATCTGCTATCATCATCATTTCCTATTGTCTCTTCTTGTGGTTTAACTCTCTCGTTGAAGCTGTATCCGTCATCTCAGCTATCGGTTCTATTCTCACGGTTCAGTGGTTCCCAGCTATCTGCATGTGGGCATCGGCTAAACTGGATGCTAAAAGGAGGGGAGAAGCGTTGCTCCCACGCAGATCAGACAACCATCGGTGTATATGGTCCATAAGAACCCGCCGAGTAGTTGCCGTGATGCTGGGCATCCTCGGGATACTGGTAGCAGCCCTCACGGGCCCCTCTCTCGTATTTCTCGTGATGAAGTGACTTTTTGTATAGTACAGTAATGCATCAATCGAGAGTCCCCTCGTTGTGTTGTATAGTAAAACACGAAACGACTATAAGAGAGAAACGTGAATTAACCTCTAACGAGTACTTTCTCAACGCGGCTGGCGAACGCTCCATCGACCTCAGTGGGCCAGTCCTCATATACAGTGAATTTCAGCTGGCGAAGTTTGTCGAGGCCCTCATGGACCTTGGTGGTGCCGCTGAGTGTATGGAAGATGACGTAGACATAAGGGGTACTGCTTCGGCACAGGATGATGCTCACGAGAGTGTATGGCGTCGAACATTCCTCGAGAGTTCGATGCAACCACGATACGGGTTCTAGGAGATACGAGCTCGGCTGGCCTACAAGATGGTATCCAATGCAGTAGAACCGACCAGGAGCTAGGACTTGTTGAATCTCGCGGACCACATCGTCCGTCCAAGAATGGTCATAGAGTAGCACGAACCCGTCACAGTCAGTTGGTAGGGTAGAGGTGGAGGACACTGAGGACGCGAGCTTGTGACGAGACATCAAGTCTAGCTCGACGGGGTCGTTGGACTTCACCGAGAGTTGCCACTGTGGGAAGGTCTCGAGAAGTCGGCTGCACCAACATAGGGAAGGACCCTCTGTGACCACAACGCTACTTGTAGGAGGCAATTCCAGGGAGTGAGCGAAGGCCCGGAGGTATTTAGATACCGGTATGTCAACACGCTCCTGCTTTTTCGTATGCTCTACAATACTCACATCAACAGGAGACAACCCGACGGCTTTGCAGTTGTCGGGGAAGGGTGTGTCTACTACCCCATGGAACGAGACCGCGACGAAGTAAACCGCCGAACTCGGGGAGTTGTACTTGAATGTGGCCAGTGGCGTACCTCCGGCCTCGGCAACGTCGGCTATGAACCTGAACAGCTCCTCATGCTTCCATCTCTCGCCGACGTTGCTGTAGCTGAAGTTCCAGAGGAGAAGTTTGGGCTTCTCGGACGACTGCAGAAGAACTTTGAAGTCTTCCCGCAAGCCGCTTTTGCGTCGACCGCGAAGGTGCATCATGCCTTCTTCGCAACACCAGACTATATCGGGTGTATCAACCGCCGCATCTTCATCGAGCCAATGCCGAGGACGCGGGATCGAATCCCACAGCATCGTCATTTCAGTGGTTGAGAACAGATTCTCGACAACTTGGCCGAGGGGAGTGTGAGGAGCGGTGGTATAAGCTGTTTTCACTTCGAACCTTCTGCAAAGATCGAGTGCGGCTTCAGCCATCCATCGTGGGTAAGCCAGTCCAGTGTCGCACTGCTTCTCGGCCTCTGTATCGATGCGCTCCATCCAAAGGGCTTCACTGCCATCAAGGACTAGCCGTGGGGACCCAGTGGGTCCTGAAGCGTCACCGCGCCACGTAATTGCGCTGAGGAACATCATCGGCGAGCTTCTCGGGTTGTGGCGATAACGGAGGCAGTCCAGCCACTTTATGTGAAGGTCACCTTGCTCCATCACAACAGACTGAACATAGTCCTTAACATTATACCAATGCTCGAAGGGGAAGGTCTCCCCGATGCCCCTCATAGAGAAGGAGATAGCGAGAACGCAGGGGGAGGCCATCAGGTGGCCCTCCAAGAGATACTTCAGGTCGTCGCGCTTCTTCCTGCCGGCCTTGTAACCGTCCCGCCCAAAGCTGCCGTTGTAGTCCAGATAAACGCAACGGAGCAGTCGGCCTTTGAGATGGTCTTCGATCCCGCCAGTTGGACGCAGTAGCTCATGAGAGGTTCCCTGAATGGTATTCAAGTCGCCGTATATCTCCAGCATGCCACTGAGCTGTTGTGGGTCCGGGTTGGGTATAAGGATGGACTTGGGGGCCACATGGGCATTCTCGATTAGGGCCTCTGCGGTGAGGAGGTGGTCCGTATCGAGGATCAAGCAGGCCCCAATGGGCGACGTAGTGGATGATACTATCTCGGCGACGTAACTGATGACAGCAAAAGCTCCTGTGGGGTCGACGTCGAGGGCGTTCTTACGTATTGATTCGTCTCTTCAACGCCTTCTCAGGGGCATAAGGCAAGCCGGTGGCCTTGAGTCGAGCGAGGTCAGAGGCCATTACTTGGAGAGACACTGTGCTGATTTTATGCAACCTTCCCCCCACTCTCAACACGACACCATTCAGAGGAGAGAAGTGGGCAGAATACGCTAAATTATCCGCCGTGTGGAGCCGTCTTCAGCTACGCTAACGTTTACTTCTACCACACGTCATCGATCGTCACGCGCCTCAAAATTGCCCTTCCGTGAGCTGGCCTTCCTCAGTTCCCGAGCAGCCTGCAGAGTATTGCACCCTCTATTCTTCTAGTAGCCCCCGTAGAAGGACGAGGTCACACTCTATGGAGGAATCCTTATAGAGTGAGCGCGAAGTGCCACCCAGATGAGGTCCCCAGTCCTGACTTAGATCGCCTGCTAGAGGCACGTCTCCCCTCCCTTCACCCTCTAGGACTATCATCACTCAAGACCACCATGGGGTAGATGAAACTCGATTATTATCAACAGATTGTGGCAGCAGCACTTGCAGTAGCGGGGGTAGCCGCTGAGGGAGGGGAGGAGGAGGAAGGGGGAAGCAGATCACGAAAGACGCTACCCTGAAGGCCTCCTTCATCTCGATGGCGAGGAGGGGGCGGATCAGCGTCGTCTAGAGTGACAACATCATCATCATCATCACCCATGGCCACATCTGAGTCAGGCCGTGACTTCGCCTTCTGTTGCTCGTTGTACTGATCGACCACTGCGAAGACCTCACTCATACGTTCGTCGTAGCTCAGCTCTATAGAGGGATCCACAGTAACGTACAGCGACGCCGCCTTGGGCCAGCTGCACACCTTCCCAAGAACAGTATCGTCGTTCAAATGAACAGTTTGGGTGACGCCGTCCGAGTTGATACACAGAGAGAAGCACCGCGGGGGCAAGTCAATCACGCCCTGGCTCAACATGAGCATTTTCAAGTCGTAGCCAGTCGAGGAGCTGGAGACCTTTTCAACACTGTTCATAGGAGTCCCCCGCCCGAACCGTCCTGTCTGCCTTCGGACCTTCATCGTGACATCAGTGTAGACCGTATCAGGATGAGGTACCCTTTTGCCCGAGCGAAGACTGTTAAGTTCGTTGCTTTCGGTGAGAGTAGTGCAGCAGCCTTCATCGCATACGGGAGGGTCGAATACAAAACCATCGGAATCTGCCACGCGACGGACCTAAACTCAGCCACCCTGGGCCAGTACGTGAAAATATGTACATCTTCAACTACATTGGTGATAGTATGGAAAATTTTAGGAATTTTTTGGCATTTTTTACCGAATACTTATACCTAACTGCTAAGCTCAGCTGAGGAAACCGCACACATATATTCCAACGCGCGTTGATGGCAGTACGACTGAGCGCCTACCTTAGGGAGAGGGTTGTCTCCATTGGCGTACTTCTCCTCGATATAACGCCCCTCCTTCTCATTCAAGACCACCACCATTTTGTTGTCGTAGGTGCCGCGACTCCTCGGGTCAAACCGTAAATTGCCATGATCGCACACAAGCAGCGAGCGATAGATTTTCCTAACACTCTTCGCTTCCTCTTTTTTCCCATTTTCTTTTCCCCCCCTGCAAAACCTTTTCAGATACTCCCGCCAATTCAAAAACCATTTCTTCGGCAACAGATACGACCACCCGCCGCCGCCGTCCAAGTCAGTCGGTATGTCGTCCAGCTCCGCCTTCCCATCGCTTTCGAGCAGCTCATGGCACTTTTCGCGCTCCTCCCCGGCCTGCTGGGCTTCCTCTAATTTCTCTTTGTTGCACTCTGGGCAGAGGGGCTCCGACCGCATTACCCAACGGCTCATCTCAAGCTTAGGCTGAACTCCCGGTAGGGCCATAGCAAGCTGCTCCGACGCATCGATAAGCCTCTCCACGCACTCCATAGGACGCCCAACGTACTTGCTGGACTCCGCATGGTCCGAGGTCTTCCCATGAGGGCACACTAGACCTTCCGCAAGGTCCACGCTCTCCTGAACATCGCTTTCCCCCCGAACTAAATACTGGATGATTATCCTCCAAAACCGTGAGTCATCATACACCCCCGACACAGTTGGCGTCACCTTGAGGCTGATTCTGAGGCGACTAGAAGCCGCCTTAGTTCCCCCAAAGGGCACACTAGGAATATTCGATTTATTCACTACCACCATCTCAGTGGTACTCGCCTTTTTCTGCCCCCCGCTGCCCTTACACCCGACAGAGGGAGAGAGCGTCTCAAGACACCGCCCCTCTAGCGCTCTTAACAGCTTTTCCTTTTCATACAAGTCCTCACAGCATTCGTAACACAATGCTCTCTGTGCAGGCAACACTAGCGCCTCAAACTCAGGCTGTACTAAAGGCGATGGGATCACCTTCACTGCGCCACGAAATACCGCCACCGGGTCCACCCTCCCATGAGAACACCGAATCTCCGCGCTCGGAAGGGTGCCCTTCACCTCAGCCGCTACTCTCGCCGGCGACTCGCCTATCGACACACACCCTTTACTCTGCCGATCGGCACCGAATTGCTCCTCCAACTTGGCCTTCACATCCTCCCCTGTCCACCACTCTAGTATGAACTTTGACGCGATGAAGGAAAGAGAGTTCAAAGAGGCACCAGTGGATTCCTTAAGGGCCGTAACAGTCGACATAAAGGACTTCACTTGCTCCTGCCGACTGTCTCTTGCCGATTCCACCGCTTTGGCCGCTTGTTCGAGATGCTCAATATCCGAGGTCACCTACAAAAGATTCAAAGTAGGTCCAGTAGAGGCCCATCAATCTCTGTCACCTTCGAGTTGATCTCTCCAACCTCTTCCTTGAGCCATCGTGGTAATAGCGTTTCCTCCTCCTCCTTCTCGACAGCTGCCCCCTCCGCATTCACCACGGCGTCTTCTCTCGTATAAATCAGCATATATGCAGTTTTCGAGCTCCCCGTTGGCGCGTCCGGTGATGCCTCGTCAATCGTATCCTCCAAAGTCGGAGACCTCTTCCCTGAGCCGCTGCTACTCTCAGTTACCATCGTACAATCATCATCATCATCCTCCTGCTTCCGCATAGACTTCCGCTTCGCCCTTCCTTTCGAAAGCCTCCGCTTTTTCCTCGGGCCCTCCTTCACCGTCCATTCATGAGTGCCGACCTTCTCATCGTTGAAGACCATCCATCCCTCCCCCCTCCCCCGTCAGCAGCGTCGCCGTATAGTGCCCCGAGTTCGCCGAAGCCCCATGGTGCTCCAAAACACCCGTGCACTTATATACCGCGCGCCGCCCCGAAATTCCCCCCTCCCTGTCAGTGACGTAGGGCGTCAGATCCAGGCCTTCCAAAGGGAACTCTATCTCGGCCGCCAGCCGCTTCCTCTCCCCTTCCTCGAAGATGTATCGCTGTATGACAATTATCAAAACCTCCGGGAATTTCTCGATCGACTGACCCCTAAGGGCCTCCACCCGACCTTCGCAATTCAAACAGTGGTAATCCGAGAAAGCCTCCTTCTCGAACGTCCTCGCCAAGGAGTCCTCCAACTTCAACGGTTCCGATGAGTTCAGGCAAACTCTAATTTCTGACAACCGCTCGGACCGCTGTACGCTATTGCCACATTGACTGCATTGCGTGCTATACCGGATGCTGCCACAAAACGTATCCTGGACGAAGTTAGGGAAACCCGGGGGAATCTAAAACAACGACCAACAAGATCGTACGTCCAACACCCTCCTCCGGGCCCTCCCAATGTCACTACTACCTTACTCTCCACGTTACTCAGGAGCATTGTCGCCAGTTCGCTCGCGTCCTCTTGCACTGCAGAATTCAACTGACAACCAAGAGAGAGCGGTCGAAGCCGACAGATGCCACAGGGAAGCTGCCGAGCCATACTACCTTGCACGCTGTAATGAAGGCCTCGACTGAAGTGCTGCAACTGGCAGACACTCCTTCCTGCATTTCGGCGAAGAGAATCTGCCATCCAACATAAGTTTCACAAAAGTCTCAAAATACCACCTGCATGGTCCTGAGCCATTTTCTATCGTCATTTTCCACTCCCTCCTCTCCCCGAGGTATTGCATATATACCGTATCGGAAAGGCCTTATGGCAAACAGCGCCTGCAAGAGAGCGTTCACATAGCACGTAGCCCCAAGGTTACGGAGGCCTGCACGACTGCCTGGGGGAAAAGTAAGTTCCAACAAGATGGTGCACACGTACCAACTCTGAGCTGCTCAGTTTTCTTGTCTAAGCCCAGTTCCGTTCTCATAAAACTCTTGCCACTCCAGATCCCCTCCCTCTTGTTGGTAGCCGTCTGAGAGCCCACATACAACGAGTCGACCCAGTGTGGGGGGAAATGTGCACATGGTAATTTACCATGTGCACCAGTTTACCATTGGTAAACTACATATGTTGGTGACAGCATGAAAATTCTGACGGATTCTTATCGGTTCTAAGGTAAGCTCCTAAAATTGCCGAGCCCAGCTGAGGAAAGCAAACTTATATTCCAACACTGAGTCAACCTCTTCCGTATCTTCCACAAGTCGACCTAGGATTCCTTCCCCCGAAATCACCATGAAGTCAAGAGGATCCTCCTTATGCCGTGCCGTCCTGGTCACCTCCCACTTCAACTCCGATAGCCTGCGAACCAACATCGTCCCCTCGCCCCCCTCCCCCCTCCCTCACACTTCGGGACGTTATAATAGGGCAGCAGACTCTCCAACTCGTCCTCCTTAGGCGCCGCTTCAGGATAGCACTTGAATCTCAAAGAAGTTGCGTTTGGACCAGCCATTGTAACCACAACATCTGCGAGCGGCAGTTCCCCTAGGATGACTATAACGCAACACCGCTACCTCCTCGCTGCGAGAGCTGAGATGTATATTCCCCGAGAGGATGACCGAATTAAAAGCTCAACTCCTCAGAGGATTACCGTAGATAATATGATGCCAACAACCATCACCAGAATGGTCAAGTATTTCTATCACAACACAACGACTATCATACTAGATACGCCGACAACAGTCTAGGCCGGGCGGCCTCTCTGCGTCTCCTCCTCCTCGGGCATGCTCTACTCCAACTCTCCTACAGAGGCCTCCAATTCACCGCTTCCTACTCTACTCTGATACGGATGATCTTCATCAGCCGCCTATAGTTCAAGACAATGCTTCATGGAAGATACTGCCCACAAGGCCACCCTCCGCTCGCTGGTTCCGTCGCTTTCGTCGCTCAGCCGCTGTCGAGCCCGACGGCGCTGTCCTTTTCCCCTTAGGCGGCCCCGGAGGGCTTGTCGGCGTAGGGCTGGCAGTAGCAGTATCGATCTCGCTCTTACACACCCATAACTTTGCAATCTTGGGGTGGCGACAAAGGTAACCAAATCTGGTATCATCAGCAAGTTCCCTCTCCTCAGGAGCCGAGTCAGTCTCCTTACAGACCTGCAACACCAACTTAACCTTAACGTTTTTCGGCACCATCCCCAAAGTCATAATCTGCAACCGCATATCATACCCGCTGGTGTTCGGCCGTACATCTCGTAGCGTCCCCAAGCGGACCCCTCTGCTCACCGACCCGCCCCAGTCCTTCGACCGGACCTCCAAATCGACAGCGTCGAACACAGGGAAAGGCAAACCGTCCTCGGCAAACTCAGGCGTCGAAGGCAAGCCATAGACCTCTCTCGAGCCACCTCCGCCAAGACCGGTAGTCGCGCCCATCAAATCCAACGACTCGGCGTTCAGCTTCTCAGCAGGGCCAGCCCTCGTCTTTGGCCCTTTACCGTGACACACGGGGCACACCTGGGCATCCCCGGGTATCCACATATCCATCCGTAGCTTCGGCACGAGCGTCGGCAGCCTCGTGGACAGACCATTAGATTGCTCAATAGCCCTCTCAATGAGTCGGCGAGACCGAAGCACTCGAGTGGTCGGTGTTGGCCGGGCACAGCTGAGGTTACCATGTTCACATATACAACCGCTGCATAGGTCCACCTCCCCCAAAGAACTAGGCGCCGTTGACACCGTGTCGGAGCCTTCAGAATCACCATTACTCGGAGAAGGGCTCGGCTCCCAGTACGACGACGGCGATGAGGACCAAGGGGCCGCCGGCCGAGGCTCCCTCAGTTTAGCCCGAACCAGGGTCTGCCATATAACATCGTTGCTAACCTTACCAGAAGAAGCTGAACCGCCCAGAGAAGTGAGCCGAGGGGAGCTATTGGGCGTTGACGGAGGGGTCCGACCGAAGTGCTTTCGCTGCCGCCCAGCAGTGGTCTTCTTACTACCAACACTTGCCAGCCTAATACGAGGCAGTGCTTTAAACCACACCCACACACAGCTCGCACAAGGGGCGCTTGAAGGCTCCAGTTGAAGACGTTGGCAAGTCTCGTTGAACTCCCTCAAGTCGGCCACTAGAGCATGCAGATCTCGACAGCACTCCACGCATACACCATCCTTGCCCGTCATCGACACCACCGCTGGCCTCAAAGACTCCCCCACCGCTTCCTCTGGTATCAACCTACACCGACTCGCGTACACACTCAATGGGTCCACACGCTCGTGCTTGCATAACATCTCCCCCTTTAGGGACTCCAATACGTTCCTCTCATTGTCGTCCACATTACTCATCACCCCAACCTCAGCCAACAGGCTCCTGACCACGTCCGTGCCCTTGGACCACTCCCTCAACGCCAAGGCAGGGGCGAAGACCAGATCACCAGGACCCTTCACAGCCTCATGAGCATGTGGTAACTTCGTGATCAGCTTCCGCACCTCCCCACGGCGTGTCTCTTGTGCCACACTCGCCGACTCACACAAGCGTTGATGGTCGAAGGTTTCCGGCAGTCTAAGGGCCTCATTCTTCCTATTCACCTCAGCTGCCAGCCAAGGAGGCAGGTCCGGACAATCGTCGACCTTGTAACCCTGCTGGACATACAATAGCATATACGCCGTATGCGAGGTCGCTCTCTCCGGTGCCGTTCGCCTTCTCTTCAGCGCTCGCTCCGAGGGGGACTCTCCAGCCTGCAGCTCTCCATCGACCGGAGCCCAGTCAACCTCGCGAACGTGACCATCATCAAAGCGCCACCATATACCAGTACTGTGGTCCTTGAGAGTGGCCGTGTAGTGACCTGCATGAGCCACCGTGCTGTGATGCTCCAGGGCACCTACACAGTCGTAGACCCTGGCGTTGAACGGGGTCAAGTCCAAACCAGTGAGAGGGAACGACAGCTCGGTCAGAATCTTCCGCCGGACCCCATCGGTGAAAGCATAACGATGCATGGTGATCCACAGGAACGGAGGCGCCGACTTGATCCACTGCCGACGGACCGCCTCGCAGTACTTACCACATGCACAACAGTAGTAGTGGCTTTCGTCCGAGAACACCTCTGGAGCAAAAACGTCAGCAACCAGATCTTCCAGGAGGACCTCGCCACCAGAAGTAGGGGCGTAGGGCAAAGGCACGCGCATCTCAGCAAAGACCTCCGTCTGTTTGGAGATGGACCCACAGCTTCGACAGGTCGTCTCGTATATCACCAGGCCACCAAAGGTCTCTTCGACGAAGTCAGGAACTCCTTTCGGAATCTGATCAAGCCACACTACAACGCCGCTGCCATCACCACTACGACTCACCAGTCGTTGGAGCCAACTTAGCAAGAGCATAGCCAACTCACTAGGGTCCTCGTGCGTCGAAGTGTGGATCTTACACGCCTCCACGAATGCCGTCACCGACGACTCGCACGTTGCGCTGATACCACACTGCATCTCACCGAATAGCACCTACAATAGGGACACCAATGAATCGACCAAGTCAGGCGTGGCTGGAGGGCGAGGACCCACCTGCAGTGCCCTCAGGCTAGCGGCCTGCTGATTGAATGCCGAACTGCGGCCGTTCAAGTCGGCGGTCGGAAGATTGAGGGTCGCCGTTCGGAAGGGCTTAGTGAAGAAGAGAGCTTGCAATAGGGAATTCACGTAACACGTAGCGCCCAAGTTGCGAATGCCAGCGAACGGCCCTACAACAGACACCTGTCGGCCACACGGCTGATGAACAAGTCTCACCTGTTCTGATGGGCTCGAAGCCTTTGTCAAGACCCAGCTCTTTCATGATGAAGTTCTTCTTACGCCACACTCCATCACGGAGGTTGAGGGAACCCTGACCAGGCAACAACAAATCTTAGGTTCATCAAAACGTCACTGCGCCACGAAATCATCGACGGCAAGGAGGTGGGGGGAAGACGTACGATAACATCGGTGGCATCTCCCTTGACTGGTCGCACTGATCGCTTGTCGGACCATCGAAGGCTTCTCACGTTGGCTGGCAGGTTGTAGTAGGGTAGCAGGGACACAACGCTCGCTGGGGTGTCTGGTGTGGGAGCTCTTACTAAGAAGTGGACAGACATGGCTCCGACGCTAAGGTGTTAAAAATGAACTGAAAATACCATAACTCGTCTACAACATTAAGGGAAATGACCCCATCGAGAATTCAGAAAAAGAACAGCCGAACCAGAGGTGAGCTCCATGTCGCGCGAAACGACAAAAAGCACCCCAGAATACAATTGCTGACGATGCTGTGGAGTCTAATAAGATTCGATTAGGAGTAGAAATGACGAATGGAGGCTCATACACAGCAATGATCGCGTAGGGCACAAAACTGAGGCCCAGGGGGAATCCCGAAGACAGATGAAAAAACAAACGGAAAAAATGAAAATTGTGGACGACATACTTTGGTCTGATCTCAACAACGACGATGAAGACAAGGATTCATGCAGCGCTAGTGAGTAGAAGGCCATTAGCAGTAGGGGGAGGTCGGTAACTCTTCGACTTAGGAGAGGTGTAGCTAGATGGGCCAGAACGACCCAAGGACGGTAAGAAATCGCACCGTTCAAAGCTAGACAATGAGAATACAATCCACTGAAGATGATAGAGCTACTTCGGAGGCGTCACATGAGCCCACAGTAGAGATATACAGTGTCGACACTCAATGGGGGTTGATCGCCCAAAACCCTAACGCTCGCGTATGTAAAAAGCGCGCGCCCAGACTCAGCGCGTTTCTACTAGCAGTGGTTGGTGTGTCGTAGCTAGTTGATCAAGGGGAGATCGGATCTACTACTCAAGCACTTCCCCTTAACCGTGACCGAACATTGCCCCCCGAGTTGATGAAGTACTCTGACTCAGTGGTTAAAACTCTGGATCGACCGTTGGGTAGAGATTTGAATCTTGAATCGTGAGTGATTTCTGACCTGAGAGGGTCAGAAATCAAAGACCGCCATGCGAGAATGCTCTTTCCAAATGAATACTTCCAACTAAACAGCGAAAAATAGAAAGGTCAACTCCCAGCATGCGGACATGCGTATGTGCCACCACAGAGTTCCCAGGGGTCTTTCCTGAGACCATTATGATGACGATGAGAATAACAACTCAGACCTGAGCCATGGATGCTGCAGGGCTGTCTCCGCTGCGGGCCGGTCTTCGGGCCGCAGCTGCAGTAGACGACAGATGAAATCCCGCGACCCTGAATGGAGGTTCATGAGCACCCGAAACGCGCGGAAGAGCCCACCAGCAGTAAGGAGTAGCTGAAAGTTTTCTCCTATGATATCCAAGTTGATGTCCTTGACGAGAATCTGTCGGTACCTAACACACCCTCGGTATCAACCTCACCCCACACCTCACAGTTTATGGAGTTGAGCATTGTAAAAAGGTAGGGAGCCGGTCAGAACAACATAGGCGATCACGCCTAGTGACCATATGTCGACCTCCCTGCCGTATCTGAAGGCAGGTCAAGAACTTCCTCGAAGAGAACATACTCCTCCTGTCTGATGATCTCCGGTGCAAGATAGAAGTCCGAGCCACAGATAGTTCTACTGCGAGGGAGTCGCAGAGGGAAGCCAGCCGATCCCCTGGCCAGCCCAAAGTCAGCGATCTGGACCAAACCAGACCACAGTCGGTCACACCAATAGTCAGTGCCCACCTTGATTTCAGTATTGCTACTGCGGCTGACCATAAGTATATTCTCTGGCTTCAAATCGCGATGCATGAGGCCCTTACTATGGATGAAAGCCAACCCATCTGAACAGACACACATTCCCAGTATTTGCTTCGCTCCGCTGCTCACCCGTCAAATTCCGTAATAGTATCTTAGCCTCTCTATTAGAGTAGTTGCCGACCTAGTCGACACCAGTCACCAACGACTCGAAGGACTGCTCGTGACCTGCCTGACTCTCTCGTATAGATCGCCGCCATCACAGAGGTCGAACACGAGTTTCACAGCAGTGTGTCTGATGGTCAAAGCCGCACCAACGCTCCTACCAAGGACCTCTACCCCAGACTCAGGTCTCGGTCATCAACGTCTACGAGGGTGATGACGTAGGGGTGGCCTCGCACCCGACGTAAGACGCGTATTTCGTCTCGTATGCGTTCGATGCTCTTCACATCCTTCTTCCCGTTGACGTGTACAATCTGTCACTATATTACGAAGGCTCTAGCACAGCTACAATGAAGGGGAGTTTGGCGAGGCTCACCAAGGTGTGCTATCCCAGACTTGAACTACCTCACCTTCAATGCGAAAAGTTGTCGGCCGGGAAAGCCTTTGTCCGGCCTCAGACAACAAGCCAACACCATACCAAACTTCCCTCTACCTATTGTACCCCGCTCATCATCAACAACGTACTTCGAATCAAAATCTGCGAGACCGCCAGCGTGAACCGACTCCCCAAGATCAAGCCAGACCAACCTATCGAAGAGTCCGCATCCACTAGCTCTCGGGTAATGTCAGCCACCACGTGGGTCAAGTGCTGTGGGCAAGGGAAGTAGGCGCCCCTCTTCAGCGTCGATAATAACTTCCCCATCGCTGATGACCTCTCAACCACCCCAGTGTATTGACCAACACATCCCAACACCATAGTGCATGGAATCAACAGTCACTTCATAAGTTCACATCTAATAAACGGATATCGGGCCTCTTTAAGAGCCCTTCCTCTGCGCTGATGGCCGCTAGTCCAAAACCCCTTTCACAGTGCACCCTAATACAGTGGAAGTACTGTGGATGACCAATCTTCCCTGCCGCTACCATAGCGATCCCAGGAAATCTCCTCTACCTCCTGCCGCATTGGTTGCTGAACCTATCCTCTAGGTCTCACAAATCGACCTAGCCTAACACAGTTAGAATGAAACTCATCACTGGGAGGATCACACTTCAGTGGTCTATCATCACTGGAAGGTCCACCAAATGCAGCGCCACAACGTAAATGAGACACTTCAACAACAGCATCTCTATACTCTCTTTAAACGTGTTCTGGCACACAAAAGTGTCCTTAATATCCACTACTGCAGCGATACAATCTTTTTAATGAGAATTGTAATATAGAGGCTAGACCATTATCCTCTTGTGTCCATCACGGTATCATCGACACACTTCCAATTGGAGTACTGTCATACCTACATCGACCGATACACAGAACGAGCCACCCTTGCCTGGTTCCTTATACTTGGTCAGCACGCATGGACCTGCTACATTCACTGAATCGATCAACTACAGACAAACCAACATGCCGCCTCATCAGCATATCGCTTCCTCTCTCGTATCTCAGCCTCATAATATGACACCATTATCCAACTAACTGACAACTTTCCTCCCGGCCAATTATACCAATAGCTCCACCGTGACCGTCAAATCGACCAACCGCCTCGACAACGCCTACCGATAAGGGTTGTTACCAAACAAAGAGCGATCATATTCCACAATCTAATCTCTTTCACACAAACTCTCGTGCGAATGGTCATGCTCTGTCGAGTATTCTCGATCTTCAGCTCCTTCGCAACACTACTATTCACATTTACCTCGGACGGAGTCTCTTTCCACTATTACTTCTGGGCTTCATCGCCAACCATATATCATACCACTTAATCGTACATTCTTTTCCAACATTTTCCCTACCAATCGTACACACCGATCTCCTAACGATCTACACACCTTCTAGCTACTCGCATCACCAATAATCGTTCTCATCAACCTTACAACCAGCAAGCCGCAACCCATCTCTACATACTTTCTAATACTAGTCTTATCAAGTCATGTCCACTGAAGTGACTCGTTCAACACAAGACGAAAAAACTTCTGAAATTGGTGTATTTGGTGTGTATGTGATCACAGACGGAGTCCACCAGTTTGGACCTTCGATGGTGATTAGCGAAATTGGAAAGTAATCACGAGCAGTCCCACTCGCGATGCTTAAACAAGAACACATCCCACCAAATCTACATACTTCAAAGATAGTAGCAGATGGAAATCGATAATAGTAATAATACTACCAGTACTACAACTAGCAGCAACGCATCGTTATCCAACTACTCAAGTACTGCTTATAATGGTATCTCAGCACTACAGCTCACAGCGAATTCGATAACGTCAAATTAATCAACCTCCTCCATCTTGGATGCCTCATCAGCAGCCTGGGCATCAACCTCCTCGAGAGGAGGAAGATCCTCATCATCAGACTCGGCCTCCTCGTCATCCTCATCAATCGACAGACCAAGCTTGATCATACGATGGATGCGGCTGGCAAACTGAGTAGGGTCGTCAAGGCTGAACCCAGAGGTGAGAAGAGAAGTATCGAAGAGCAACCAGATGAGATCCTTCACAGTCTTATCAGACTTATCAGCAGCAGCCTTCTTCTTCAGCTCGACCATGATAGCATTCTTGGGGTTGACCTCCATAGTCTTCTTGGACACCATGTAGCTAGTCATAGAGCTATCCCGAAGAGCCTGAGCCTTCATGATACGCTCCATATTGGCAGTCCAACCGTACTCGGAAGTGGTCAACACACAAGGGGACTCCGACACACGCTGAGAAACGACGACCTTCTCAACCTTGTCACCCAAAACCTCCTTGACGAGCTTGCAGAGAGGCTCAAAGTCAGCCTTCTCCTCCTCGAAAGCCTTCTTCTCCTCGTCAGACTCGTTGAGATCGAGATCACCCTCCTTAGTAATGGACTTCAGCTTGTGACCGTTGAACTCACGGAGCTGCTGCACAGCGTACTCATCAATGGGATCAACCAAGTAGAGGACTTCATAACCCTTCTTGCGGAGAGTCTCGATGAAGGGACTGGAGGACACAGCAGCGATGCTCTCACCGGTGATGTAGTAGATATCCTTCTGACCCTCCTTCATGCGATCGACGTACTCCTGGAAGGACACCATATCCTCACCAGACTTGGACGACTTGAACCTCAACAACTCGGCGATCTTATCGCGGTTGGTGGTGTCCTCGTGGATGCCCAACTTGAGGTTCTTAGAGAACTGCTCGTAGAAGATCTTGTAATCATCAGGCTTCTCGGTGGCCATCTCCTCGAACAACTGCAAGCACTTCTTCACCAAGTTCTTCTTGATCACACGAAGGATCTTGTTCTGCTGGAGAGTCTCACGAGAGATGTTCAAAGGAAGATCCTCAGAGTCGACAACTCCCTTGACGAAGCTCAACCACTCAGGCATGAGATCCTCGCAGTCATCAGTGATGAACACACGGCGGACGTACAACTTGATGTTGTTGCGCTTCTTGGTGTTCTCGAACAAGTCGAAGGGAGCACGACGTGGCACGAACAGAAGAGCCTTGAACTCGAGCTGACCCTCAACAGCGAAGTGCTTGACGGCCAGATGGTCCTCCCAATCGTTAGTGAGAGACTTGTAGAAGGAAGCATACTCCTCGTTGGTCACATCCTCGGGCTTGCGCATCCAGATGGGCTTAGTCTTGTTCAACTGTTCCCAATCGTGGGTGACCTCCTTGACCTTCTTAGTCTTCTTCTTCTTGTCACCCTCCTCCTCGCCTTCCTTCTTCTCCTCATCCTCCTCGACCTCCTCAATCTTAGGCTCCTCGGATTCGTCCTTCTTCTCCTCATCCTTCTTCTCATCGTCCTTCTTCTCCTTGTCCTCCTCCTCATCCTCAGAGTCGGTCACCTCCTTCTCGGTAGATTTCTCAACATAAAGCTCAATAGGGAAGCCAATGAACTGAGAGTGCTTCTTGACCAGATCCTTCAGACGACGCTCCTCAAGGAACTCAGTCTGATCTTCCTTGAGGTAAAGGATGACCTTGGTACCGCGCTTAATGTGACCATCAGCGAACTCGGTATCCTTAACAACGGTGAAGGAACCACCAGCGGCCGACTCCCAGATGTACTGGTCGTCATCATTGGACTTGGAAACAACACGAACCTTGTCAGCAACGAGGTAAGCCGAATAGAAACCAACACCGAACTGGCCGATCATAGAGATATCACCACCAGCCTGGATGGCCTCCATGAAGGCCTTGGTACCAGACTTAGCGATAGTACCCAAATTGTTGATCATCTCAGTCTTGGTAAGACCGATACCGGTATCCTCAACAGTAAGGGTGCCATTGGCCTTATCAGGAATAATCTTAATTTTGAACTCAGGCTCCTGAGAAACAAACAGAATGACAAATGCCTAAGCTTCAACAGAATAACAGGTAGGCGAGAAAAGATTCCCAAATTACGTTCTCGATCTTCTCGGGATCAGTGATGGACTCGAAACGGATCTTATCCAAAGCATCAGAGGCGTTCGAGATAAGCTCACGAAGGAAGACCTCCTTGTTACCTGAGCACGAGAGAGTCGGAAACTCGACCAATGAACAACCAAACTTACTGTAGAAGGTGTTGATGATGAGACTCATCAGCTGCTGAATATCAGCGTTGAATGCAAAGGTTTCTGTGGACATCGTAGTAGTAGTAGGCTGCCGGGTTAGGGGCAATACTAGGGACTGGAAGTACTGATATTAAAATAGATGATAAAAATTCCCTTGGCAACCCCATTCGCTGTAGGTTGTGCAACTTGTCTCGGGCGAGCGAGATTTGCATCGATCACTTGCGTCAGAAGCTCATGATTCGCCTTAAGCCGAGGTTACACCGCACCCGATGACGGTTTCATGGGGAATCTATGGGTATCCTAGCGAGTGCGGTAGTTTAGCGCACAGTGAAGGTTTTTGTATCCTAACGGAGCGAGGCTAAGAAACGCATCTTTATGTCGACTTCCTGTTTCGCTCTCTCATTCGTAGGGCAGTTGCTCTATTCCTTCATCACGAGTAGTCAGGGATGCACGCTAGGCCTGCCGTTGAGCACTCCTGAGATAAGGACCATTTTTTTCTGATGCAAAAAAGGTAAATCGGATCATCAGATGCCCATTAGCTTTAATGGCCGAGTCTTCTTCCATCGCGCCTTTACCTAACCTTTCGAATCTCTGGGGACCCTCCCTTGACGAAGAGGGCGACCAGCAGGCTGTGGCACCTATCGAGACCCTAGGTCCGATATCCGTTGACGAGCACTCGCCAAACTATGGTGCCGGAGAGGAACCCCTAAGGGAGGCGGCCTCTGCCGAGGGCGATGCCCGGGAAGTTGCTCAATACAATGAGGAGGTCACTGCCGTACAGGAAGGATCAGAAACCCTTATGACCGAGTCAAGGCCTTCTAAGGATGTCAGTCCAGTGGCCGTACAGGAAGGATCAGCAACCCTTATGACCGAGTCAGGGCCTTCTAAGGATGGCAGTCCAGTGGCCGTACAGGAAGGATCAGCAACCCTTATGACCGAGTCAGGGCCTTCTAAGGATGGCAGTCCAGTGGCCGTACAGGAAGGATCAGCAACCCTTATGACCGAGTCAGGGCCTTCTAAGGATGTCAGTCCAGTGGCCGTACAGGAAGGATCAGCAACCCTTATGACCGAGTCAGGGCCTTCTAAGGATGGCAGTCCAGTGGCCGTACAGGAAGGATCAGCAACCCTTATGACCGAGTCAGGGCCTTCTAAGGATGGCAGTCCAGTGGCCGTACAGGAAGGATCAGCAACTTTACACCATCCGACGATACCCAAGGTTAATATACAGGGGCTGTCAGCATCCCCTGCAATCAACAGGGGCACTTCTCTTTCGTTGGTTTCGCCGTCGAACCCACTAGAAGCGACTAGCAGCTACACCATGCATTCAACTTCCCAGTACGAACGGCTCTCTGGTGCTACTCACCGAACCATAGGAGGCCCTGAGGGAGAGGTCTGGGGGGCCATAGACATCTCTAGGTCCAACATAGGCAGATACAAGGTACTGCTCAACCACTACCTTGCCCCACATCGGCCCTGTCTATCAGACCCAACGCATCTACTTCTCTAGCCCTCGTGCCTATACTGGGAAACAGCACCTTATACGCAAGGTAGAGAGAGCCCTCCCTCGGGACCCTGCCATCACCTCTGGGCCCTTCAGGAGCACCGAGACGCTGCTAGGCGGATCTTACAGGCGTACCAGTCGGAGTCTGCTAGGTAGTAATCCTCCCATGGGAAATCGATAGAGGAGTGTGGCAGCAGGTCTCGGATGGACGTGAGCCAATCGAGGATGAGTTGTCAGAGTCATGTTGGGGAACGACAAGGTAGTGGCCCACGATAGTTGAGTAGATGATGGCCCTTTAGGCCTCCTAAGGGAGCGTGCCCGTCTTCGAGCACGAGTATTGGGGCTCACCAGGACTAGGGATCAGCTGAGGCATGCACTGAAGACCTCAGTCGAAGTGCTTTGGAGGAAGGATGCCGAGATAAAGTCCTTGAGGTCGTTGTTGGAGGATCAGGCCCCTCCTTAGTCCGATGTGTGAAGCTGTCATGTCCAATGGGTTGTCCACAGTGCCATAGTACTTGCGTTGTAACCTTGCGTAGTGACCATAGGGCACTGCAGTTGTTGTTATTGTTGTCATAATGGTTGGTACAGCGCCTCTCCTACACCACATGTCGCCATACAAGGCATCTCCTAAGTGGACCTTGAAGGGGGAGGGCTGTGTTGAAGTCAGCAGAGCGTGAGCCTCGGTCCTCGTAGTGTCCTTCACATAGGCACAGCGCCGTTTGGACCGGCATGCGAATAAGGTTCCTGGTCCAGGGAAGTATGATATCATCGGTAGAGTTGACCACACGTCGAAGTTCAGGACCTTGGCGAGGTAGGGCGTAACGTAGCTGGACGGTATTGGCTATCTAGGTCATGTTCGTTCGGATCGGCATCACGCTTCGTGGACGAGCGGAGACCAACCACTTCTCCGGAGAAGAAACAAAGGAGTGGTATAGAACCTGGTCCTGGTAATAGGAGCCTCTGCCATTAACGTCGTCATCATCACCTTATACTTCAACAGTAGTGCTTATCATAGGAATCTAAACTCGTATTGTTAGGGAAGTAGGAATGGCAATTCTCGAGCAGGTGCCTATTCTCCCCCTAGCGACTTCAGCGGTAGACCCTTTACCTCTCATGGGAACATCACTTTCGGTACGGGAGGCAGAATGTTCCCCAAGTGCATGGAGAAGATGGCGCGGAACTCCCCAGGGCCGGGTGTTTACGAGATTAGAAATAAGTAGTATCGAGGGGCAACTCGTAGCTCTCACTTGTGGTATCATCTTTTTTATGGTGTCTATAAAATTCCAAAATAGCGTTGTCGTAGAGTAGTAAGAACTTCCTAGGGAGGACGGGTAGGGTCTTGGCAGGAACCGCCAAGGGTCAGCAACCCTGAGCGATCGAGCAATTGGGGTCGCTGGTCGGCATGATTGGTACTACGACAAGGACATTATCGCCACTCGAGGGAAGCCAGGTGACGGTCCATGCCCTCTCGTCGTCCTCTATGGTCAGTGACAGGTCCGGGAACATACGACTACAAGGTTGGATCAGAGGAGCCGTGCATGAGGTTTGGCACCAGCAAGAGGCCTCCTATATACCACATTTCCTCTAGAGGGCATCCCGGACCAGGTCAGCGTTCGAGCCACGACACAGAGTAGTGAGAGTTCGTAGGTGCATACAATTTGAAGTCGACTTTGGAAGGCCTTAAATACAGCTTTGCTGGTAGGGACAAATATGGAGGAGCGCTGACTGTGGTTAACGAGTGAGTGTGAACGGGCACCAGGAGTGGGTCCAGGGTTGGTTGCTGTCAGTAGCACTGTGGGACCACAGCTGACCCAGCCCACGCAGTTCGGATGAGCGGGCAAGTCACCAATTCTGCGAGTTTAATCACGAGAAACATTGTTTGTTGTTCATTGAGATGTACGATAGTCATGATCGCACATGGATGTGCTCAACCTCGCCAGGTGTCGAGTTGAGTCACCATTATAGGGATGGTCGCCGGGAGTAGTAGTAGTAGTAGTTGTTGTTGTTGTTGTTGTTGTTGTTGTTGTTGTTGGGTGCCCTTATGCCGACCGCGCTGAGCGCAGTATACGGCCTTGGCGGCACACAGGCTGCGGGGCCTGTAGATAGTTCGTCCCCGTGGCGAACCCCTTCCGGCTGGGGCTCTGCCAATGGTAATTAATTAGGTGTAGAGGGAAAATAAAACGGTACAAGAAATAGAAGAATAGTACAGGCAAATAATACGAAATTATACATTTTTTTTTATTTGCCTGTACTAAAAAAAAAGTAGTAGTAGTAGTAGTAGTAGTAGTAGTAGTAGTAGTAGTAGTAGTAGTAGTAGTAGTAGTAGTAGTAGTAATAGTAGTAGTTTCCCATGCTATTGCTATTGCTACCGATGGTAGTGGCTCCGGTGTGCGGAAGCATTGGCATCCCAGCGATCCATGTTGAGTATAGTGATGATATCCAAGGTCACTTTGAGCTTGGATACAAAGTAGGTCCGCTTCCTGCCGACAAGACTAGGGCTGTCCTAGGTTGGATACGCCCTGCGAGACCACATACGGGCCGCTCTTGAAATTGACGCTTCCTTGTTGGAGCTGGTCAAGTGGCATGAGAATAGTAATTGGGAAAAATAGGATGTCTTTACACCAGACAGTTTGGGAGGTACGGAGGCTCAGCGGTGGCTGCGACTTTACAGCGAAAATGCCAGGGAGGCGTACCCGAAAATTCATTCAGAAATGAGAGGCCTGAGTCGGGGCACAGGTGGGGTGGGATGACGGTCTAGTTTTTAAGGGGTCGTCAACCATTCGGGGAGGAGGAAGTCAATAATAAGTTCATGCATTGCGAAGCAAACGGTTATGCATATCTAGATTTCCGAGATGGCTCTCTTCAATTTGAGAGTACGACCATAGACCACGAAACGCTTCTAAAACGTTGGTGTCAATCGATTCACATTGTTATCAAGTTGACTTCCGAAAATTTGAAGGTGTTGAAAACACTACTTTGCATAGCGGTTCGGCTCACACTGTCGAGCTAAAGCTCTCTCGCAACATTAGTAGCTTTCTTTACGAATAAAGTCGCCTGTATCCGTACCCTGGTCGAGTTCTGTCATAGCCTAGGGTGCTCAGGTCTGCCCCTGGATACGGTCCTGCTGGCCAACCATAGAAGTGAGATGGAGCTGCTTATGAATCGATCGAGGCATTCTGTGGTGGGAAGGAGGGTAGAGCGAGGGTGTACAGACGTACACTGGCAGAAGCGAGGTGACTAGTATTGGGCCCATCAGTGGTGACCAGTGTGGTAGGTTGGATCGGTTGGGCCCATAATGAGGACTATGATTGGCCCATGAGCCATCGTCCGGGGTATATCATCTACGCTACCGTCTATGACTCCGTGGGGACTGGGGTAAGGCCCGTTGGGAAGGCGAGGGTCAGTATAGCTGTACGCAGATCCAACAACGATGGGCGGCCTATACGTACCCTCTGGGGCTCAGTGGATTGGCAGTGAGCGTCAACAGGTGAGGCCATACTGTAGAGTATACTAGCTGTTACAGTGTTGGAATATATGTTCGGGGCGTTTCCTCACGAATTATAGAAGTTTATGTTCGAAATCGGATACAAGTGTACAGAAACCAATTATCCGAAATTCCCTCAAAATTTCAGAATTGTCGCCAACGTATGTAGTTGAGCATGTGCATGCTTTCCCATCCTTAGTGACGGCATCGTGAGTACGGTCAACTCCCTCTACCCCACCGAGCTGGTCGTGCCCACTGAATCACAGCCGGCCATAGGACAGATCATTCTCGGAAGACACCTCTGCACCGCTACCTCAGTCGAGGAGGCTGTCCTTGTGTGAGGACCAGAGGCTTGGCGACAGATCGCATGCCTTCCGTCAGATTGGGGGACCGTCGCCTCTCCACTGGGCATGGGTACAACTTTGCCAACTATAAGGACCCGAGCTCAGCTGTGCTGTGGGGAAGCCTCCTATGACTCTACTACGTTGGTGCATCGCTCCTTCAGGTACATCGAGAGTGCGCCTGGCGGCGAGTTGGCCTCCAGGAACCTCACTGAGGAAGGCGCTGGAAGGCCAACAGGTCAGACCTGAGTTCAGTCGCATTCAGTTGGAGTTGATTCCCCTCTCAGTTCATGCAAATTCCTACATTTTTCTAAAGGGCGTCGCCGAGAATCCGGGCCCTAGTAGTGGGCATCGCCTCGCCCGTTTTGAGGAGCTGGCTGGGAACGTGAAAAGGCCGGCAGACCTTCTCAAGGTGGGGGCTTTACGTGTGAGATGGCATGAGACATGTTTGGGTTCAGATTCTATCGGACAGCGGTGATGCTGAATGGCCTATCTTCAGAGACAGGGAGAATGCTCTATTGCAGAAGGACAGTGGGACTACCGACCTCACGGTTTTCATCACCCTCTCTGGGGAGTGGCCTCGCATAGAAGTAGGTGAACATCGGTGTCGAACCGCGACGAAATTTTCGGTAGAAAATTTTCGGACTACTATTGCAGGCGTGGTTTGGTTGCGATGCATTTGAATTTTTGTGTAGTTATCGGTGCAGTACGCGGCATTTAAAATGCGCAATGCTTGTCGGATCGGTTTCTCTTTGACCACGTTGGAGTTTCACCCGTCTTAGGTGAAGTGGCGTAATACTCGGTGACAAACCCGATATTCGCGGTGATATGCAGTAGTCGTGAAATATATTTTTCACTAGTGTTTTGCAGATCACTAGGGTGAAACTCCGTTAAATTTTGAGCTAATTTCTCCAGCAAGCGTCTTGAATATATCTTCTACATTGAAATCCAAATCGTGTGCCATACGCATGAGCTCATCAGATTTGGACTGATCGCCCTTGGAACGAGTCGAGTCGCACTTTCTCAAGATCAACGACACAGATCCCACTGGGTGACGGAAGGCCTGGCCCGATGCAGCACCTAGTGACTCCAGATCATAGGTATCTATTGTCTCAGGGAGGGGTAGCTGGATTCAAAGCCCTGGAGGGGACGAAGCTGAAGGATTGGGCTTTGGCCCCTACACTCACGATGATAGCGGAGTTGACAGCGATGAGTATGTACTCATGTCTTGATTCTCATGCTATTTGTTTCTGACGAGATCTGCGGCAATGTGAGTAGTTGAGTCAATTCAAAAGGGTGGGGAAGGCGTGGTCGTCGGGGGTGTATTAGTGGTTAAGGAGAGCAGTTGTAATTAGAATGAATAATTATCATTTATATGAGGAGATAGGCCATGGCAAATACACTGTCGTTTACAAAGGGAGGAAGCGGTACTCAATTGAGTATGTTGGGGTGAAGAGTACTGAGAAGTGCCGGAGGAGTCGGGTCATGAACGAAGTCGCGGTAAGTCGCAGTTGTTGTCGAAGACCCATGGCCCCTCCTGTCTTAGGTCCTGAACGATATTAAGGGGCACTTCAACGTCCTCAGATTCAACAACTGGTGGGTCGTCGTCGGGCTTTGAAAGTGTCTATGGTTGGTAGCCGACAGGTATGAGACACGTAACCACTTGTGGATAATAACAGAGTATTGTGCTGGAGGAGATCTCTTGAAGGTCCTCAAGCAGGATGCCAAGGTCTCGCCTGATCAGGTCTGATGGCAATCCCAGCTTGCTCCGATATGGTCTTGGCTTCAGTGTCGCGCCTTCTGTCTGGACATAGTCGCGGGGCTCCACCACGTGCATCGTAATGGTATCATCTACGGTGACTTGAAGCCATCTAACCTGCTCTTCACTGAGGAGGGTCGGCTGAAGCTGTGTGACTTTGGTATGAGTCAAAGGCTCAGTGACCTCGAGAATCTGTCGGCCAAAGGGAAGCCCCTACCGAGACGAGGTGAATGGCTGACCATGGCCGGCGGCGGCCCTTCATCTCTTGCTATGCCTTCTACTGTAGGTACGCCGTACTATATGGCGCCAGAGTTGTTCCTCGATAGGGGTGTACACTCCTTTGCGTCGGATCTCTGGGCCTTGGGCATTGTCATGCATGAACTGGTAGAGGCACTACTGGTCTGTGACTTGTCGTCGTTATCTATTGTAGGTCACTGGACGTCCACCGTTCGTCTCGAATTCCTTCCAATCCCTACAGCAGTTAATAAAGGAGGAAGATCCGAAGCCTGACATAACACCTCTGAGCTCCTCTATGACTGACTTGGTTCACGGCAGAGGGCGAGGGGGAGACGACGGCCTCTTGTCGAAGGACCCGGTAAGTCTCTGCTACGCTGTCGTTATATGCCTCCATTGCTCTGAATCAGGTCACCCGCTTGGACTGGCCGAGGCTGCTAGCTCATGCATTTTGGAAAGGGCAATTCGACCATTTGCTCGAGATAGTGTTGCCGATACAGAAGCACTTCGTTGATTATGTCAATACAACTCATCGTGAGACGCGGCTACCGTCTTGGCCGACCTCATCTCGCTGTCAGGTCTACACTATCCTAACAGTAGACGAGAAGCTGTTAGTATGTCCACTTCTTCACAGCGAGTGAATCCTTTGGCCGTACAAACACCGAGCTCAGAGATGTTACGATCGGAGACTCCATCGGTCATGGGCCAGCCGACGCCTCCGACGCGGTGCCAGACGGTAGGTTGGTAACTGGGTGGTGGTCAGCAAGCAGTGGGGTCAGATACAGCAGTTGGTATTCCATCCATCGACCCCTTCCGAGTCTAGGAGGGCCACTGTGGCTGTGACCATCACTAAGCTACTTCCACATTGGTCAGATCAGTCGGTGAGCCCAATATCTACGATCCTAGAGGACGAGGGAGCGGTCCCTCCAGGTGGGCTGAGGTCGTCACCCTGTCTATGATACTATGCTTGGTGTACTCAGATTCATCCAGTGATTTCGTTGATAACGAGGGCATCGAGGCAGGCTCAGCAGGGAAGGAGAACCTCAGAGGTTGGGAAAATCGTTTACCGTAATTTCATCAGATAGTGAGTTTATCGAGGGGACACTGCTTCTCTGCAGGTTCAAGGCCTACGACCGGGAAGATTTCGTGGTAGCCATAACTCAGTCAGCGACATCTGCCGTCCTCAACAGGGAGGTGGGACATGCAACCACAGGCAGGCGGCCTTAGCGAAGGTCTCTGCTGTCAGGTACACCACCATATAGCAGTAATTCATCAGCACTTACGGTCGGCCGCCTCTCCCGATCTGGTTCATGCCATTATACAGTATCTCACCCACTTGGCAGAGAGGGTCGAGGTGGGCCTCAGCCGCAGCGGTCACAACTTCGCACTAGTCCCTGTCAGATCGCTGATGTGGTCTTGAACTCCTCCATCCTGTCTCTGTTGTTGGTCCTGGCCTCGCCTCCAGCTGACAGGGATGCTGATCACAGCGGTACGAAATCTCGGTCATGGACAATAGCGAGGCGGAGCGAAGCACTGCGGATTGATACTCTTAATGTAGCTCCGTAGCCGCACTGTATTTCGAATTTCCCTTCAGATGCTCGGCAAGGCGTTGCGGCATGCTTCATTCATTGAGCCCGGGTACACTGCTGCTGGGGGCAGTCACTCAATGATGGTCGGGGTCAGCGTTGCTAGTCACCACAGTGTCGAAGCTGCACTCAGCCGCACTAGCCTCGACACAGTGGTCAGTGGCGCCTATGGAGGCTACGGCCTTTTCGAGGTGTGTGGGCCGACGGATTCCTGTGATGAGATACCACCACTTTAGGTGTTGCAGCAGTGCATCGACCCGTTCAACTCTCCCGCTATACGACGGAGTGCTCTGGCGGCCTTGGGGGAGCTCATGTTCTACGTCGCGACCCAGCAGACCCCAGCCGGGTCAGCCCAAGCAGTGGCGGCAGACACTACCGCCAATAGTAAGGTTCATGCTTGAGGGCTTCACATGGCTCGCCATAGGTATATTATCTGGATGTTCATCTTCCTCCTTGGAGTTGCCTCCCTCGGTGGTCTCAATAGTCATGCAGACCTGTCTTGTAGGGCAGTTGCAACTACTCGCCTCCGAACAACTATCGACCATCTCAGATCCGCAGTGACGACCTCGAGCTCCATGGTCTACTCATGTTGGCTGCGCAGACCCTCCGCAACATAGCCCTCATGGCGCCCAATGGCTGGGTCACGGCCAACCTCCTCACCCCCGCCATAGATGCTCAGGTGGGACTCGACTTACTTTGTGCTCATTATGTTTGGTTCCCATACTTCTTTTTGATGTTTCTGATGGGCATCTTTGCCTAGACCTAATAAGTAGTTGACGGCGAATAGAACTTTCCTTGCTACGCCGGAGAAGGGTCGTCTGGCTAATGCATAATGCCATTGAAACTTCATAGGTCCTTAGCAGACTCTGCCGAGTTTGTTGTGACACGACAGTGAGCGTTGGAGTGAGAGTAACTTGTCTAGCAGCGTTGGATGATACGTAGGCCCCTTTCTCCGTGGACGGCGACGGGCAAGGCGATCCTGCTTAGGCTCGACTTGGTCCCGACTATGAGGAAGTTAGCTGCCACTGAGCTCCTCCGAGTATGTGTGAGTGGCATGCAGCTGGCTGGACAGGCGAGTGCTGAAGCTGATATACAGCGGGCTGTGTCTTCCGCGGTGAGCCTACTATCATCAGCACTGCCTTCACGCAGTGTCTCGGTCAGGCATCGTTCGGTCTGCGGCTATTGAGTTCACATCGTATCGACGCGACTACAGCGGAGCGACTCGTGATCGAAGCCCTCTCTATCCTAGGTCAACCACGACTTTCTAGCGTGGTAAGTTATTCTTATCCGTATCTGGTTGCACTGCTGTACTTCAGTCACGCGGCAAGGTGCTGCTGTTATTGGCTCGGTTATTCCTCATTCGTGGCACATCCACGGACGCCATAGGAGCCCAGGCCCTACAACTTGCGCTGGAGAAGGTAGGACGATTGGATTCCGACTGTCTTGGATGATGCCTGGTCTATTCAGGGCTTGGCGATGAGGTTCGACAGGATCTGCAGAGCCCCCGATGCAGCTCGAGATGAGGACAGCGAAGATGAAGATACGGCCTCATATCTGCAACGGGCTCTGAGTGTTATCATCGACGCCGTATCGATTTGCCTATGGCAGTGTCTCGCTGATGCCGTAAGTCTACCCCGGCCTAACTGTTGTGACGGAAGGAACTCGTCTCAGTCAAGCTCTATTACTGTTCAATTGCCAATGCGTTCGGTGTGTTGACGTTTGTATATCCCTATCATATGCTACACTACGGATCATCTCGGTCAAGACAGATACTTTAGGTATTGGAGCTCCACTCTGTGGCTACGACGTCTAACCCAACGCCATCCCCTCGATACAGCAGCCGCAGCGGCTCATCCTCAACTTCGGCCTCTTCCTTCTCCTCGTCATCGTCGCTCCGCCGTGGATCGTCCTCGTCATGTCAAGGGACGAACATATCCCGAGCACTGAATATAATCATGCATCTCCTAGCCAACTCCAACATGGCCAGATGTAAGGGCCTCGCCTGTCCTCTCAGAAGTCTTTTCAATGCGGCCTTCAGGTGTGCTGACTGCGTCCCATATTCCCCCAGTAGCGAGGATAGCCACGTGGCAGACTACCTGTGCGAGCCCTCGGAGCGGTACGTCTGTTCTGATCGGCAGCAGAGACTATGAGCTCGGAGTTGTTAGGGATAATGTCGAGACAAGGCACTAACGCTGGTCTGCAGCATCTCCAGCTGCTGATGATAGAAGGTCTTCCTGCTCAAGTCGGAGTCATCCTTGGTGGGCAATTCTCTGTCGGCCTGCCGCCGCCACCGAACTGTTTTTGTATTAGAGAGTGGATCTTCCCTATGCGACTGCTTCGTCCACAACATGCTGCCAGCGATAATATCCCACACTCACTCCAGTCTAGCAGATGTCAGATTCAGAGCTTTCAAGAGCCTGTCCGATATTATAATGCAGCTCCTGGGAGATGACGACACGTAAGTCTCCATCACGACTGCAGCCTTTCGGTGTTAGTCACTGATGGCCCCCTATATGTTCGGTCAGGTATAATGCCGATGGGGCTTTGAGAGCTCGCCTCGCCTCGTTATTGCGAGAACAGCTCCTGCCGTTGGTCGGAGTGTTACTAGGTGATGATGAGCCGACCCCTACTCTACTGCGGAGGCTATTGGCCTTGGTCATGCCTGATGAGGAGATGACACCAATGGTGAAGTACAGACGATGACAAGAACAATGATGCTGTACATAAGACTGTCATGACGATTGCCAATGATAAGCTCAGTTGTTGGATTCTCAATTGGAGCTACCCGAGTCTTGGGATACCCCTGGTCTTAGTAGAAACGCACGGTGGTCAGCAGCGCCCACTGTCACCGGCCCTTTATCAGTGCTCTGATATTCGTTGATATCCGATTATCAAGTACACTCCACTACTGGCTATCCGAAGCTCCACGGTCATCAGTCTTATACTTGGCTATAAGAGAGTTTTCATCAGTTTCACTGCGGGATAAATAACCACCGCGCAACCTCTCGTAAGTTATGGACGAGATTAATCTCACCGAGCAGGGTTTGTATCATCAATATACTATCTTGCACAGCGCTATTGCCAACAGGCTTGCCAGGGGCTGCGTGTCTCGGACAATCCTCTGCCGTAGGATCCCTGAAACATGTCGATATCCTTCCTGTAACTCTCCATGTGATTAGTCATCGAGAGAGTAGAGCTCCATATGGTTGGCACATCACCGAGAGAGAACATACTCCTACCAGTGGTGACCGGCCCCACTAGACTCGCCAGCTCGAGCAACGACATCCCCCGCGTGATGCCTCTGGCAAGAGATTCTTCTCGCAACAGCTCTATGGAACCCTGGATCAGACAGTGTCTGACAGACACGACTCTCGGTTGGACGCAGGTTACCGCTCTGTATCATGCTTTCCATACAGCGGGCGTCAGTGAGTGACAAAGCGGCAGTAATACTGACTCAGTATATACTCACCGAGTTTTGATCGCTTTTCTTTACGATCTAGAGAACAGTGTATCTTCGAGTAGACCGAGATAAGTCTGCTTCAGATCGATAAATCCCTCGAAAAGTGTTGAAGAGCCTCGTTGGAGCCCAGCAACAGACTGTACAAGGAGGATAGAGAGTCGAACGCTCATCCAGGATCTTATCTGCATCCCTCTCGTGAGGTTCATCACCCAAGCTCTCACAGTCTAGTGTCTCACAAGCTCCATGGAGACTGTCATGGTCGTCATCAGAGACGTCACGCTCTCCCTCATTAGTAGCATTTGCTTGTTGCGCCACGGCGTCTACAAGTTCATCAACTACGCCGAGTCAGCTTCCCCGTCTGCGATATTATTGGCCTGCTTCACTTAACGAGAATCCTTGGAGGATTCTCGTAAAATGAAGCACTATCCTTTTTATGGAAACCAAGCGAGTTTAACACACACAGGTGAAGCTTATGCGCACAGCATGCTAGCCATATCAGTGGCTCGTCCATATCAGTGCAAGATCCCCGATGACATTTATGATATAACTGCCGCTGTCGGTCGTATACGAGAGTTGAAGGGGTCACTGGGCAGGGGCGTTCACATGCCTGAGTTATTTCCGAACCAACTTCGAGGGCTTCGGAGACGTTGGCGTTAGCATGACACCCGGCTGGGTTAGCAGAGAGCCCAAGCGCGACATCGGCGGTTATGTCCACACCCAGGCCAGGCCTCCAGACCACAGTGGCGTTCTTGTTGTTCTTAGAGCCGAACATCCAGGTGATGGTGCGTCGAGTGTCCACAGTGCGAGCGAACGCATGAACGGCACCGGCGACGGGCGTGTCATAGGTGATGACCTCGTCGAAGTACGTCTTGAAGAATTTCGAGAGTGCACCAGACCAAGTTCCCTGGCCGACGTCGTGGTTCGTGGCATAGAACGACAGCTTGCACTGGACCGTCAGAAGGAGGGCCTTGGAAACCTCAGCATCGCTCTTGATCGCGTCCACGAGGTCATCCCTAAGCGTGTCGCCGGTGCAAGCGATACTTCAAATGATAGTATTAGACCAATAATTGAAGGAAATTCAGCGATAACACTATGGTCCAATCGTTTTCGGCTGGAGCGAAAGTGAGGATATATCGATCAGGCCGATCGTACCCTCGTACCTTCAAGATTAACTGTCTTCGACTGAAGGTGCTTCTTGAGGAGGCATGTTTAAATTTTGATCTGCTTTACCTTTTCTTGTCTTCTCTAGCTGGACACCGAAGAATTTTTGACCATCCGGTACGGTTCGATCCGTTTGCCTCAATGACATTGAGACCCGGGCGGTCCCACTTTACGTGGTTTACCGGTGGAACCGGTATCGACTTGCGACTTACCGGACTTACCGCCGGTGAGTCAATGACCGGTGACCCAGGGTCACCGACGTCACGCCGGTGGCAGAAAAAGACCTCAGTCGGTCTAGTTTGGCCACTAGGCAGCCTAGTCTAGGCTAGCGTCACTGGTTAATAGAGCCAGTGTAGTCGGCGACAGTATCGCCGCGAACCGCGGCCCGCGATACTCCCGAGGCTTTCGGAGGCAAAATAAGTCGCATCACCTCAACAGGATCATCAACTCTGACTCTCCCCTCATGCTATCTGAAGCCACTTTCATCATGAAAGTTTCATGAACTAATGAGGAGAAACCCCAGTCATAGTTGCACAGGACGGCACGTGATACCCAGATTGTATTATTCAATTTAAATCTACTAGGTTCTAGTACGTCAGCGACCAAAGATTGCAGTTTAACCAATCACACCGGAAGTGCTCGATAGTCAGACAAGGCTCCGGAGTCTCTTCGCACTAAAGTTAACTTTGTGAGAACAGACTTCCAGCGAGGAAAAGGGCTGATTCGAAGGAAGCGAAGGAGCCGTGATTGTAGTTAAGGCAAACGTTAGATTACCAGATAAACCGGACCCGGTCGTCATGCCGGGGATACAGGACCGTAAAATCTGGCTTCCCAGTTCCTTAGCAGGATTTTCGCCGGACCGGTGAGACCGGTGCAAACGGAGCGGACCGGGCGCCTAGCAGACTCCGAGTCTGCGCTAGCGCGACGTTGTTGTGCTAGGAGGTGAAGTTTGGTTGTGCACGCCGATCTCCGGAAAATTTGAACCTCACATATGAACACATGCACGAAAATCAAATGTAATGTTTACCAAAAACGAGCTTGTGCCAAGCCCCAGCGTTTGGCAGACCAATTACCCAAGCTGAAGTACTTCATTAGCACGGGATAGACGGATACAGTCAATGACTGTCGGTCATGTATCAAAACCAGAGCTTTTGACTAGAATCTACTACTGACAGTAGTCTACTGTGATTGATGCAGGCGTACTTGTGTTACACGAGGATAAGGCTGTTTCACAAGCTACATCTCACTTGTGAAACTGAGTATTTCTCATTCTGAGTATTTCTTTAGCCTGGTCTAGTTTTGCTGTCAATTTGGGAGCGGCTCGCATGTAGCTCCCCTCACAGTTTGAACCTTCAAATGCCAACATCGTGGATTTCTATAGAGTTTGTATTTTTAGGTTTGCAACTTGAATTTGTATGGGGTTTGGATCATCTAGATTCTAGAGCATAATGCTCTATAGTGCAAGTCCATGCACTATCTAGACCATAAACGCTCTAAGCATTCAGTAGGTCGCGGTCGTCGAAGTAGTTAGTCCTGGTTCTGTCTTGGCGTTCCCTGCTCTACTGTTAAATACATCATGATGGCCAAGGTTCGATTATGGGTAGACATTTTATTATACTCGAACTCCGTTCTCGAGCCTGCTAGGACTCCTAACTTGTGAACTCCTGGTGAAGTAAGGTGAGGAAACCCTTGTAAAATAACCTTACCTTATCTGAGGAAACCCGACCTTAGAATCCTCATCTTGGAGACGTCCTAATGTAAGGTATCTCAGGAAATAGGCCTCGGATAACCTTCTACAGTATTTTCCACAACGGTGACACATGTCGTCATCGTTCAGAGGAAACGGCCGCCCAACTAGTCACAACATCATCCATCACTTGGTGTGTATGATACATAGACTTTGAGTGTCTCGTTTAAATATTTTCTCGCCCGACAGAAAATTCCGCTCCCATTATATGATCGTCATGTCGAGTACTGTTGAACAACAAACTATGCACCATCATAATGCATCATAGTAACATGGGCATGTTACGTATCCGTGTATCAACGACGTAGTGCTGGGGCGGGGAATCGATACTTCGGCCTCTTTCTCATAAGCAAGAATTTTCCCTCGGTAGTGCCCAGGCACTCCCCCGATGGATCGTCCTGACCAACAGCTATCAAAACAATTTCCAACACTCCTACATCGATCGTCGGTGGATCTACACGGTACACGACATTCGCGAGATGGAATGGGAGTATCTAACCGGGCGAGAAAACTATCATGCCATTATTCGGCAAACGCACATGCTGGAAGCCTTGTGTGAGAGGGTCCGAGCAAATAACTCCGAGAAGTTGCCATATCGACGTTCCCGGACATGCCAATACAGTCGGGCCTGCAAAACGCGAGGACCATATCATAGTATCCGCGGTAGGAATACCAATGAGTTTAGTTAGCTTTTCCTCATGGACGATGAGTCCAGGCCTGTTATAATGCGGGATACGACGATGCAGGCGGTAGCTGTACTCCAGGTTGAATACGATTTGCTCGCTAATCCTCCTGAATATTGAACGAAGCTATTTTCCACTGTGACGAGTCCCTTATCAGGAAAACAGCTACAATGCACTCGACGGAAGGAGCATTCTTAGACTCACAGACTAGCTTTGATATTCGGGACCTCGGCCATCTTGTTGGATCCTGCTGCGTCAAACACTTGTGTATTCGGATCACCTGCATAGAGGGAGAGATCATTCAAGTTGACTCCGACAGATTCTAGCCCACCATAAGTGACCTGTTCATAAACACAACGAGCTCCTCGTATTTTGAACACCATGTTATAGCGGCGAGCACTGTCGACTGTGATACTGCTGTGAAGCACCTAGAGTCGTACTGCGCCGGGCTAGGCTATTACAATCGAATCTAGCTTCCAGGTTAACTATATATAATAAGTAGTGTTCGAAAATCCATCCTACTACACCAAATCTACAAGTACGGAATCTCCTATTTCAACACATACCCACCAAGAGTAACTATTTCATCGCCAATCTACACTGTAAGATAGTTGAATCACGACATACTTCAATTCTCGAAGTTGACGCTGTCAGTCTTGCCGGCTCACTTGTCAAGCTTGCACGGGAAAAGATATAGAAAGTCAGACCATCGCAATACTCACAGAAAGTTCTCGTGGATTGGTCGCTACCGTGACTGTAATTCACAAGCCTATCTCAGCACACCATCCAGAGATCGAAGATGATCCCACCTGCACAGTCCCCATGAGGTCCTTCAAATCTTAACCGCCTGTGTAGGAGCTGAACGGCAT